TCACAGGTTGTCCTACTCGTAAGAGTAGGCAAGTAGTGATTGCCTTAGTTGGTGGCGGGGCACATTCTTACACGTAGCGATGCTGTCAGCAGAAACTTATGGCATTTGAACGGGATATCGGCTGCCAGCCGAAAACCCCACCACGTCCTCTAGCATCGCCGTTGAGCGTCCGCGACCGATTATTCAGTGAGGTAGCCCCACNCACCTATTCACGATTAACCACCAAGGTGGCCGTTCTCCTATCCGCGACCTGGAGACGCGCTCGGTAGCACTCAGCTGTGCTATCCTTAGACAGTTCATTGCCTACTGGCCTACGGGCATGATTAAATTGAATTCTCTACCATTGTTTTATATATAGGCTGCATTGAGCTGGTTAACGCTACATTGAAAACGACATTGTTATCCCCTCCGTTTTCATGCTACTAACTGTAGTATTCACTCAAAACATGTGCATAAGTTTCTACCATTGTTTTCCTATGCACACGCGCCTTGTCTTTCGCCAACGTTGATCAGTGTAGCGGGATTTTGATCGAATAATTTGCCGGCAAATATATTGAGTGCTTTTACACTTGATTTCAGAGAGCTTTCACAAAAAGTGATGGTGAAAGACCTGTTGGAGAAAACCAATCCCGATGCAGTTGCTCGGGCAAAACGTCGCCAGGTGACCACAGAAAGTCGTAAGTCACTCATGATTGTCTCCCGGGCGATCCAATAAGAAAGAAGAAGGAATTGTATGGTAATGAATGCAAAATATGCCCCTAATTAACGATGCAGTCTGATTTTGGATTATCAATCCATTGTTACTCTTGTAGACTTCGTGATAACTTGTCTAATACTTGAATACCGCTAATTACAATCGCAGAAATCCGACTGATACCACATAAGTTAAGGTGTAAAACCTCATTATCATTTTCAAGCAATTATCTAACAAAAACAAATGACCAAATGCATATGGAAAAACGAATGTGTATAACAATCTTAAAGTTATATGTATCCGTGGTACTGTTTTAGCTGCAACAAGGGTATTCAGTTTTCTGCTAGGAAAATTAGGCGGAGAACGAGATATTTTTACATTTATCAAACGAGAGAGACGCCTATTAGTCCAGTGTTGTGATACAACTAAGTAGCTGCGTTTCACCAAGTGACACGAAACATAGCAGAGCTTTCATTCAACATTGATTTGATTTGATTATGCAGAACGTGTTTGTACCAAGGTATGTTTCTGTTCGGTAAAAAACATCTAGCACAGTTGCGGTGAGGGACAGAATGCGCACAAATAAATGGAAAAATGTAAACTGGTCACTCATTCACAAAGGTTCCCCTGAAGTTTATTGGTTACTTTGTCTTCGTGACGTTACTGGTCAATCACGAAACGGGTGACTGCATACACATAAGTAAGTTAACAAAGGAGGTGAGTTGTCAGCTTGGAGCTTACTAACAAAGCTCACAAAACAGTCATTATGAACATCCTACTATTTGCTGATCAAATTATTTACGAAAAAGAGTAAAATGCGACGATGGGGAGCAGTGAGATCTTTTACAAATAAATCAAGGACGATTTTGGGGGACAGATAAAGTGTGTGCGGGGAACACATTGTCATGGTATGACAAGCTACTTGGAAGCAAACATTTATAGACTGAACGTCCTAAAGTGCCTTGGCGGACTTGTTTCCTTAAGCGGTTACAGAGAAGCGTGAGAAGAATCACAGTTTCAAAGATGGAGCTCGATTTAATAATTCATGAAAAGTCTTGCCTAGCAATGTGTGCATGTGTGTGCGTTTTAGTCTTGATGAGGGGAAAACTTTCATTGTTTAGGTAATAAAATGTTAGGGGGGTTGAATGCTTTTATTGGTTTTCGTTATTGTTTGTGGACCATGGTTACCTCTACTGAAGTTGCAACATTGGCCGCGAACGCCGAAGAATGGAACTCGGATGCATATCGGAGTCGTTAAACCTACTGATAATAAAAAAGAGGGGCTGATATGGGGAACAACTTTTTCTTCACTATTTCTGCGTTACTTTTAAATCTTCTCGTTCGTACCAGTTTCGGTGAAAGTAAGCACATATGTTTAAGCAACCATCGGCTACGTACAATACGGTTATGATAACGCCATGAGCTCTGTCAGTGTCATCCAGTTGGGTGGTTAAACCAAGTGAACAGTAACCGACTCGAACTTTGACAGAACCGATCCCTCCCCGTCCCGCAAAAAAGCTACCATTTCATTTGTGGCTCCCTCATGGAATGCGTAAAAACACTATTTCCGGTCTACTTTTGCAAAAGGATTTATCCAGATTGAGATTGTGTAAAAAGGCGAACAGTCTGTGATACCAATATCTGTGTATTTGAAGTGGATCATTCCACATGATTATAAAAATAAGATGATTGCACGAGTTATTTCAATGAACTGTGCGCTCTTAAGAAAAACTGAAAATTTCTCCAAATTAAACTGCTTGATACTGGTAGTCTAGCCAATCCCCAAATATCTTTAGTTTCACGTGTTATCTGGGACAACCTTTAAACTACTTTAACTTATAGAATAATTCTAGGAGGGCAGAAGATTGAACCCAGTAACCGTTGTATTTTGGACACTGACGCAATGCAGTGAAGCCTGTCCCTATTTTCAAAATACCCTGGCATTAGGACTCGGTGTTTTTATTCACACTTCAGGTCCGGTCCCGGTGGATGTGGGCGAGTCGGCCATGCGTGACTATTTGCTTCATAATTGGCGTCACGAGAAATGCGCGGAAGCGGCCATAGTCTGGTTTTCTGAGCATTCCTGTTTCGACAAGGCTTGGCTGCCGCCGAACCTATCCCCTATTCTATTCAGCACACTGGATTTGCATCGAGCAAACAGTAATGTGGTTCATGCTGCCCTGATTGTGCTGGCTCATTTGGTCAATCTGGGTCAGCGAATCATAAATTTGTCGCCACGCTCGATTGCAGATGATGCGCCAACAGGTGGTACATCCAACTGGACCATTGTTAAAGAATGGGCAAATGAAGAACTTCCACTGATCCTGACTACCATGAAACAACACTCGGAAGAAGTCCGGATTCAACGAGCTGGTCTACAGTTGTTTGACGCTCTGATAAGTTCCACACATCCGAACATCACAGTTGATGTGGTCCAATCATATTTGCAATCGCACAAGCATCTTTTCGAGTATCTATCAGACATTGGTGTCGTGGATCATTTGCTCACAATGCTGCAATGTGACCAAGTTCCCCTGGTCCGATTGGCTCTGGATTCTCTGTGGAAATTCTGTGTCTATCGTGAGTTCTCGGACTACGGTCAAGGAAATTGTCTCTTTGATGTAGCCAATGATAGCAAGCGGTGCATTTGATCAGTTCAATTGATCCTATGCGAGTAGGTTACATGGGAATCTTATTGGGTAATAAAAAAAGAAACAATCAAAAACAAAAGACATGTCATTGGTTGTGAGTAAGATTATGAATGGTCAAGTGTTTCGCACTTTAAATGTGAAATACCATTATAACCTCATCAGATCGTCCTGAGATTGGTATCTGATATCCCGGGGTCCCAAAATGGTTGGGTACAAAAGACTAGCAAATTTCTACGCTACCCGATGCTTCTCCTGGTGGGCGATAGGAGAACGGTCATCTAGGTGGTTAACCTTCAAATGGTTAGCATCGCTGCACCATGCAAAAAGCCGTCAACGATCAAAGTCAAAGTCTGAGGACGCTGCCATACATGTATCCGAGAGGCTTCGTAAACTACGCGAATCTGCCCCGTCGGTAATTAGTGTCATTTCTGGTAATACCACACCGTATATGAATGCGTCAGGTTTAGATGTGCATACTGGAAGAGAAAGACCACGTGGTGCCGTGAAATTCCCTCATCCGCGGACAAAACTAATGTTTTGATGTCAGAATGAGTCACAATGAAGTGAAACTAAGTAACTATTTATGTTTCGTCCCACAAATGTGCAACCAATTTTCAGGAGCATGCCTATGGCTGCCACTAATTAAAAAATATGAGAAAAATGAGGTCCACGAAGTATAGGGTTTAGATTAGAGATTGAAATTGCATTATTCATTGATCGTTACGGTAAACTATGGTTAGTTTTATAATCTATGATCTCTATTTAAATTGATGTTTGGTTGCCTCCCGAGCTTGACGCTTATATGGTAAACGTTTTTTAACCAGCCATCGTGTTTCTTTTTGTCATAGTGGTTGCTGCGATTCTACCAGCCTATCCGAGTTACAAAAGCAGCAGTCTTCACCCCTTAATTTATCTATAATATACATTTGTACTCAAATTTTAGCCTTTTTGCTTTTGATTGTACCTTCTGGGTCAGGTTCAGTTCGTACACACATTAAGTATGTGTTGCCATGCGCCAATTTTTGTTAACTGTCTTTTTGTTGCCATTTGGGTAAAAAAGAGCAGAGGGAAGATTGGAATAATGTGCTGGCTTGAATTCTGCCTGGAGTCAGTTCGTAAAATACCCACGATTAGTGTCTTTGTCACTGTTGCTTAAAGAGATGAACTGAACTAATTGATAAAGTCGTAAAATCGTTTTAATTTTCCAGTTTATTACACGCGGATACGAGATTGATGGGATATGGTGAAACACAGTAATCAAACTACCGTGTAGGAAAGCGACGTTATCATACTAGATCATTCAGGCCAATCACCACACTGTGATGGAGAACTATGGTCCGAGTTTCACTTTGTCCATTTCAGTGCTTTTTATTGCATATACAGATTATATATATGATTATATCATCAACCGTTACAGCTTTTAGACGTGTCTGCCACAGGAAATATATTTTTCAATCATGAAATAAATTAAGAAAATGTCTCATAGATTCCATCTGGTACATTCGTGTGAAGTGACCCGTCGACAAAGTGAGTTGTCTCTCCCAAACTCTGTCTAGCTCTATGAAATTATTCATTTTTTAGTATCACTGACGCAAGGGCACTTGTGGTGTAATATTTCGGTGAAATTAAACAAACATTCCTTTCCAGACAGGAATGAGTTCTGCAAGTTCGGGTATAAATGATAATGGACTCGTGATAGGAGTGCACTACTTAAGAGCACAGTCACACTGGAGGCTACATCTATAAAAATAGTCTAGATATTTTTTCGGTCGTTGGGAGCCTTCGGCAAATAATGTCGAGGATACACGTAAGCCGGCAAAAACGTATATTGAATGAGCACACTTGGTCTTCAACGACCCACTGAGCATGTTGTGATAACCTGCTGCTTAGATTCCGTACAGTTTGCTTTGAGTGAAAATTCTATTCGATATGTTCATGCGGTTGATGTTTTTTAATAAGGTTCACTGATTTGCGTTCTGATTTGTGACATGCATTGGAGTATAGCATAATTGAAAGAATCTCCACTAACGCCTAGTCGTTTGTGTCTTTATTTTCCCCTGATCTAAACTGCAGCTCCGATTGCAGAAAAAGCTCTTGAAAATAATGCGTTCGAAATAGCCATTTCACTAATGCGCGATTGTCCGGATGATATTGCATTGTTTGCCAGTGGCCCACTACTGATTCTAGCTGTTTCGTCTCTCGGTGAGTTCTCAATGCCATCGCCACTAAAGGTGCGATATTTATACTTCTCATAAATTACCAAGCTTTGGTTGAAAAAGTTTGTGATATGTAGAATTATTTTTGAAGATGCTCATGAGAGCTTCTAGATATCAGAAGTTAAACCACAAAGGGGTGTTTGGATATCAGTCCCTGATGTTACATTCGTTGTGATGTAATTGCAAACGTTTCTTCGTTAAACGTGACCATACTATTTAGTAATCAGTTTCAAACCATTAAACGAAATAAACAAAACTTGGACCATTGAAATTCACCCACGCTGAAATCACGGTACGAATTCCACTTGTACTCTGATTTAAGTCTAGATGTTTCCCCAAGGCTATTAAATTCCAACTGAAAGGAAAAAAGTCGGTCTGATTCGCTTTATTGATTATTGTAATAATTTGTTCAATGAACACGTTTCATGTTACCGATGGATATTTACAGTGGTGCAGTGGATGATACAAGCCGAAAATGGCATTGTATGGTCACTTCCAAAGGGGTTAACTCCAGTTTTATCCGATCCTGTTCATTCCCAGTATTTACCATTGTTATGGGAAAGTTTATTTAGTACATTTAATGTTCAGTTGTACCATAAACCGAACCCAGGGTATATAGATTCTATGGGATGCAATCAGCATCAGCTTTGTAATGTACTCATGATAATCATTTGAATTTGAGCTGTCTTTCCGCCCGGCTCAAAAAAGTAACATTGAAGCTACACACTCGTTGACGGATTTGCTTTCAAAAGGTCGACAAGTATGGCATCTTCTGATGCTGACGTTAGGTGACGGTCCAGGTCTAGAGTGTTTGTCTCAGCGTATTGCATTAAAAATGGTGTTTAAATCGGTATGAAAGACAGAATTCCAAAAAATATCCGCTGTTTGAACCAAGAAAATGGTATTTTCTCGAATAATGCATAGTGTAACAAAGAACGGTTAGATTTCTTTTCGTATTCTCCAGGTTCTGTTACCTTTTCAGATCAGTTATTTTGAGTTTTCGTTTCACTTACGTAAGGAATGATCAAATCAGGGGAAAACAATAATAATGCATAATCAAGCGTTTGTGGGTTTTTTATCACTTCTGAATGGCATCCTAACGGGGGATTGGTTAGATAATGGGTAAGAAATCTAATAGTATTATTTGGGGCTCAGATTGTATTGTTCAATTAAAATGTTAAACTATAAATATCTGTTATTCTCAAAGGGGAAATTCGTCGTGTATATGTCAAATGAAGCGTGAACTGAAAAGCTGGGAAGCACTGGACAGATGTTTCGACCAGGTTGGATCTCATCAGCAGTGCGAATCCATCGACACACCTGGGATCTGTTATTTGCTTTCGTCTACTTGTTATTGATCAGTAGCTAAATCACTTTTCTCGAATTTTAAGGAGGCTGCTCATACAGGGACATTCAGAACCACAGTGTCTCGGCGGCTTTAACTGGGCTTCGCGACCAGTGCATTCAACCGTCGCACACTTAGAATATTAGGTTTGCATGAACCCATTCCTATTTACGAGGAGAATGGGCAGTGTATATGTTAAGGAGTAATATATGAATGACTGGACAAAATTTCCCAGAAACACAACCGGTTTAGCGGTCGTCGTCGATCATCAGTTATGCGTATCCGGTAATCTTTCGCCTGGTCATTCTTATCCATGGTCTATGGCCCTAATGCTATGAGATTCTGAGTTTCTGTCTGAGTGTATTCATTTCCCCCACGTGAAGTACATTCAAATGCAATGGAATGATTATTTAATGACTTGTTCAAAACACTAAACAGCAGTTTCTTCATTGTTGGGGCCCTCCAGGATTAGCAGGGTACGGTTAATTTGAACGGTTGATGTTTGTCAACTAGCGCATGACCTGCGCATGCATGAAACAGGGGTCGGCGGGCGCGGGGATATCACGGTAACAAACTATCCCAAAAATCTTCATACTGGCCAGTGAGCTTTGGAGTTAACACTTTCTGCTCATGTTGTTGATTGCAGGTTCAGCCCAAGCGCATTTCATGCAAGTAGATGACATAGTAGCAATATTGCTTGGTGGACTAACCCGATTCAACTGTTGCCCCGATACCATCTGGAATATTTCCCTGGCATTGAATGCGGTGATCGTCAATTCTGGTGAGCATTGGTGTTATAATTCGAATTTATATATTTATATGTTAAGCCACAACATTTTTATGGAGGTAGTTTTAAATAAAATATCCCGGAAAAAATAATTGCGATAACCATATAATAACATTGTGTGTAGAATGCGTTCAACCTAAGAAAATGAATACCGTGATCGATTTTTGATGCTTTATAATGATATAAAGACAAATGGAAAAGGTTTCTCAAAGCTTACTACCGATTTCGCGACTCTCATCAACTACCATGCATGCTTCTCTGCTGTTTTCCTTTCAAACAATTCTTCTAACTGTACGTCCTATGTGAATTACATCACGATATCCTAATCTGCATCTCCTAAAGTCCTACTATTTTTTAATCATTCTTGTTCCGCTTATTATACAGTCATTAAAAATTGTCCTAGTGTTAAGTGGGCATTGCGTGAAAGCATGTAACACATGAAAATGTCCTAAGGTTTTCCTATTGAGTATTCAAGTTTCACTTATTTGGAAATTGAACCTTACTACCCAGCTGAACGCACTGTAGCGTAATTGACACGGAAAGCACAAACTTAATAATAATAATAATAATAATAATAGCGAGAGATGCGGAACCGATTGTATGCTCCTGGGAAATTTTATTCCATTATTCCCTCTTGATTCATACTAGGTGATGTAACTAACTGTCACAAACAGTGGCACTCATGCATCTACTCACCATCTTTACGATCTTAGGATATATAGATGATATTTCTTTTCCCTGATCGCTCTTAACATTCCAATTTTTATTCTGCAGTTTTATCCAAATGGGCAACGTAAAGATGGCACCCGATATCACTGGTGGAAGTTCATAGCTAATAGTTTTAAAAATTAAAGCTACACTTATCATAACCTACTTACCTTGTATACTTGTTGATATTGAGTCATTCGGTGTGAAGAGCGAAGTGTGACTTCTTTGGGAAATAACGCATTAAAATCCGGTGTAACCGGCATAATTGAAGATGGACACCGTTATTCCACCACATATCGTTCATTTTGACTTGATGAAAGTCCTTTCTGAATAGTATACGGGTGGTCACAGGAAATGAGGTTGAATAAACCTAAATGAGCTTATGTACATTACCTATTCGCTCTCTAAGTTGCCGATGCTTAGCTTCAGCCTCTGAAGGTAACTGGTTAAAAGAAAACTGCTTGACACGGAAAATGTTTCTGATTTCACACGAAATTTCAGTTTAGTCGAGTTTTTGACGGTGTTAGCAGATACCCTGTTCTTCCCTAGAAGCCACGTTTCCCAAGAGTTTAATTCCGTGGACTTTATCTCATTTACGAGGCTTGATTTCTGTCTGAAAACGTGAGACATTTAGTTGCCGGTGTATTACTCGAATGCCAGAATACAGATACACCAGCACACTATCATACAATTTTTAGTTATCCTTCTATTCATTTGTGTTTTGAGATCTGAGCGCGCATTGGTACAATGCGTGCAAAGATTTACTCCACCTCTCGGAAATTTGGTCTTCTCTTAACAGAAATACCTGATAGACTTCTGGTAGTTGCTAATAGCTCTGGTTGAAACTAAGCTGGCGTTTGGTAACAATGCAGAATTGACTGTGACGCGGATCAACCAGTGTGAGAAGCACTAAGTAATTTTTCCAAAACAAGATGGCCACAGTTGCTCTTTGGTGGCTCAAAAGATTGGTCATCGTGTTCACCGTTCACGTGTTATTTTTTTATTCGGAAAGATAGAACGTTAGTTTTCTATTGAAAAGTTGGTTTTGATGCCAAGACTGGTTAAAAGGTTTGAAGAAAAAAAATGTTTGCATCAGTGGTGGACGATCAGCGCTCGAGGATGTGATGGTTTTACGGCCTGGCCAGGGTTCTCCACACAAAACACCACACATATCTATGGACAACGATGTGACGTGGGAGTGTGGTGCACCACTAAATATAGCCATTGTAACTTGTCGAGACCCATTGTTCAACAAGACTTTCCAGAGCAAGCGAATAAACCAAAAACTGACCTTCGGCTCCTGTGGTACACAACTGCTACCTTGCAGTCCACGCTTGTTTGCGCAACTGCTAGAGTGCACCCTTGAACAAGACCTACTCTGGATACAGCGATCAAGCAGTACAGTAGCGCAAAACACATTTAACTATGAACTTTTCCAGCCTCACAAAGCTCGACCATTCACACTGTGCAGAACATTTTACACAGCAAACACTCATGTCTCCCTGGCATTCCTCCATTTCATCTTTACCCCTCTCCCACACCTCCATCTATCGGGTTATTCAGACGATCGTACTAATTGTAGTACCTCGGTTGGAAATTCTTCCGCTGTTCTCTCATGTCCTACATCGGCTACTGTCCAAGATTCACGTACACCTCCCTGGGGACCCGTAGGTTGCACCTTCTGATCTTGCTGGCGTTGACGTGGCTCTTAGTGAGAGAGCTGAAGCCACGCTTCCGGATTGGATCCCTGTCAAAAGTTGTTTGTGCACAGTGAAACTCAGAGGTTCGCGCAAGGTAAGCAGCCGTCCCCAAGATAGACGAAACTTGTTTGCCGTGTTGGCGCACGCTCCAACAAACTGCAACCAGGACCCAGTCAAAGATGAATCTATGCGACCTGTTGAATGATACGATCCGGGCTGATATCGTGATTTTAGCAGATGATATACTTGCTAAGGTAGGTCGGTTGACTTCGAGTGATATCCTTCTGGGAGGTCTTTTCGGACTAGATTCTTGTCGCTTGGAAAACGAGAAACAATTGTTGGCTTTATGTTTTGATAACCGCCTATTCCTCTTCAGATAATTCAACTGCCGGTGCGCTACCTGTTGTCCACCCTCCTCGAATCAGCTACGGACGCAGGTTGACCACATCGCGATAAGCCGCAAACAGCGGGGTTGCATACAAAACTGTCGATCGTACTGGAGCACTCTCCTTTAATCCGATCATGCATTAGTTTGCGCCAATTTGTCAAGTTGCTTCTGTGGGCGTTTTAAATGCACCACACAGCGACAGATAAACTGCGATAAGTTCTCTCGACCAGCATGTCTAACCGTCTTTCAGAAAGCACTAGCTGAAAAGCTAGAACCAACTCCAACTGATAGAATCAGTTAGAACTGATCGTTTATCAAGTATGCTCGGGATTCGGCTGGCTTAGTTAGTTGTGGTCTTACACGTCTTGTCGTAACACCCTGGATTTCTGCGGAATAGCTACGCCTTTTTGACGCACGCTGATCAATACCGGCCGGCAGCGAGCATAATCAAATACGGCTCGTACCGAGACATAAATTTAACGCCAGCCCACGCAGAGGCCACGAGATCCGGTAGACTCAACACACACCACAGATGGAACATGTTGCCACCATGGGGAATTCCTGCAAGCTGTTCCATCTCACCCGGGTCACCGGTAGGAAAGACTTGGGTGTGAGCGAAACGATCTGCGAACCTGACGGTTTGCCCATTCACAATCAACGGCGTAGCACTTTGAGGCACAGTTTAGCTGGTCACCAGTGTCAGCATCTCACACAGCTATTTTTTCACTTCCCATGGTCTGTCTCAACAGACCTACCTTCTGAGGCGGAAATCCGTAAGAAGATCCAAGCCCTGGTGCGTCAAAAAGCGCCATGATCCGATGGCCTTCCCCCAGATCTAGATTATGACAAAAGCATAAAGCTTGTTAGGGAATTAGTGACTGAATTCTCTAAAATATGATATACTGAGAAGGCTCCCTCCTCGTGGAGGAATCGATTGTTGTGTTTTTCTTCAAAAATGGCCCACACGGTGACAGCATCAATAACAGGGGTATAAACCTTATCCCAATAGCGTCAAAACTGTTGGCATCCGTAATTCTTCTCCTGAGGAGCAGACTCTCAAAGAGAGGAATGGGTTTCACGCTAGTTGTGAACGTATGGATCAAATCTTCACTCTCCGACAGCGGCAAGGGCACCGTCATGCCCATCAAAGACCAACGATCACTGTGATTTTAGATATTTGCGCGCCCTCGATTCTGTTGGTAGGAATACACTATGGAACTGTTTGTTGAGGTATAGAGTACCTGAGAAGTATGTGTCGCTCCTCAAAGAGTTGTATGACCATACCTCAGATTGGGTTATGGCCTATGGCTAGCTTGAGCCACCCTTTGCAGTCCCCAGTGGATTTCGACGAGGCTATCCTATATCCCCATTCCTTTTCAACTTTGTCATAGAGGATGTTCCACGGAAGGCCTCGTGCGGTCTAGTAAACGATGGAGTCGAACTTGTCCCACGGAACAAAGTTCTTGACGTAGAATATGCGGATGATATCGTCCTGTTGGTTGATAATACACAGGCGGTCCAACAGGCTTTAAACCGCTTGGTGATGCTAATCGACATTCTCTATTCGACCACCGATGTCTCCAAATCATTGCTCATATCTGGTGGGAACATCGGGTGAGCAATGACGAGGTTTGTCGTCGTGTTTTGGGGGCGGGTAGTTGTTCTATAAAATAAGTAATTGGTCTGCATCGCCTCCGATAGCTTTGCCACGCGTTCCTTATGCCTGTCCATCGTCTACCTCTCCGTGCACCCTTTGCACTTGCTGGGCACAGCTGGAAGTAACGTCGTGGCGGTCAGACTGTGACCTGTTGTAGAGCTATGACAAAGCTAGTTTCAGCTTTGGCTTCCGTTTAAACAACTTCGCCTTCCAGTGTGGTGCCCAAGGGTTGCGGTTTTCCGACGGTTAGAGACGCTGATAAGAAGAAGTAGGTAGCGCGAGTACTGCTCAGTATGCCTGATGTAATCCCGAATGACTAATACACACAAATATCAAAAGTGTATGATGAATCTCACAAAAAATGTTATTATTCACAGCCGAAGTTTCGACATCATTTACTGCATCGTTTACAACCACTAATAATGCTGGTAAAAATTAGTTTCTCACTTAGTCCAAATGGTAATTGTTAACTGGTTTAGGAAGGATTCATATATGCACTGCCTCTTCCCTTTTCATTTCCCACAGAAAATGCTGCATTACAATTCGTCGGCGGTTATCCACAAACATCTGAAGATGGGTTCGATATATTATATTCCATATACAAAGCGTACCATGACAATACAAGTGTGATAGAAGCGCTCATGCGAATTGTTGAAGCGGTAATTCGATACGGTGAGTGCTGAAATCCACATATCGATTTCTGTTTGTCTTGTTCGTTCATGTGGTATAATTATTTTTGACCAAATCTGTGGCAGATTCGGCAATGCAAATATGGAAATTTGTTCTGATAACATGCAGTGATTCAATCTTCTTTTGTGGTTCGAATGAGGATATGCTTCATTTCAATTGAATGACCTTTTCTATTGTGTCCATTGTTCCTAATCATCACAATACGGACGAATTTAGGAAAACTATGGGCTCTCATAGGGTTTAATACATGTATAAGTAATTCGGATAATCCATGCTTCTCTAACCACTTAGTGAAACCCCTTATTCAATACGGATTGAAACAGTTTATTGTTGACCGGGAGAAATTGATCCGCCGATGCAACCGTGTCTGTAGTTGACTCCACGTAAACGCAAACGTTATTAACATGAGGCTTAGTTGGTCCCTTTGATTTTGTCATGGGCAAGTCAGATTTCACTTTGAAGCACCATAGCTGTTTAAAAATTAGATATTTTTAGGGAAACATCACACCCCAAGACTTGATTGCCTGGATTAAATAAATACCCATTTGTATAATTCTATCACTTAGTCTTATTGAACTAAATTCGATCACCTATTCCCGATTTGTATTTTAAGAAAAAGTAGCATATAAAAACAGTTATGACGAATTAGGGCTCATCTATGTATCGCGATGTGATAACTTTCATCCAGAGCTGTAACTGACCAACACTGCGCTATCCCATTACACAATCTGCGAACATTATGTAAATCCCTTTGTACACCTTAATTCTCGAAAACATTTGATCCTTAAATTGATACGATGTGTCTCTCGAGCGGGTTGAATATGTTTCTCAAACGAGGACATCCGATACGTTTTTCGTGGCAAGATGAAGGATAATCCTTGAGTGTTTTGACACTCAAGAAGGCGAAGGGCATCAAAATAGCGACATGCAGGTGCTGAATTCGAACCACGACACCGCCATTCATCTTCTCCATATCTGTATCAGATAGCCTTTGTATGACCGCCACCCCCTTCCTGAAAGTTAACTGTAAATTTACATGCTCAGTAAATAAAATGCTTCCTTTTTTGTTTATTGTTTACTTTGAAAAATGATCACGTTAAAAAATAATTTTTTTTCACTTACCCAAGCAGAGTGAACAATCAGTTGTAATAAAAAGAGTCTTCACATATCACGTATTTGTGTTCCATTTCAATGACGAAGACATGAGTGAAATCATATTATGGGATCAAAGTGCCCGCCTGATCTTTCTATAATTGCCTAAGATATTATGGAGCCGCTATATGATTATCCCGTGCAACTTCTTTAAACTTCTTTAAACGACTATACGCTCTGTTATCCCAAACTGTTGTACGGTCTTCAATGTGCATAGTTCGGAAGCTTTGGATCATCAAAAACACAAGCGGGTTCCCATTGAAGCGGCTAAACAAAAGAGCTACTGCAGCGTCATCGCTTTTAATGTTTTGGCCACGTTCTCAAATAACCCTTTCAAAATATCAAATCCTATTAACACTGACTTCAGGTTGGCGCTGAATTTTAGGTGGCCAGATTAATTAGCGGTGGCCTACGAACATGGAATAGAAATGAATCCATTTGAATCCATACTGATCTTGCTGCCTCTCGAAGAACGTAGACAGCAGTGACCCAATAACTTGCAGACCCAGATTTTTACTTGAACACGATAAACTAGCGTCATAGTAAATCACTTTTAGTTGTACAATTGTCTGTTAATAAACTGATATTCTGGTAATAAAAGCGAACAGTAGCCCTGAAATGCTATGGAAGTCTTTGTGCCAAAAATGTACCCACCACTGACGAATACATCACCTACAAATGCATTGACGTAGTGTGCGAATTAGCGATTTTCAAAGGAGTGAAACCCATACACAAGACCATCCACAGTGCCCAGTGCACTTGATCAATCAAATGGATTATTCTACAGTCGCGACTCTCAGATTTCACCTTCACGCTCTATCGGTTAATTAGGTTTCGCATGTTAGTCGTTGATTGGGTATCGTGCACAAACCACGCTCACGTGTGTCGCTCAAATCCTGTTGAAATTTTCATCCGTTTTCCCAGATAAATTCAATGATGTCTTGGATAATCTAAAACTAAATGAATCTCGACTGTCGTCTCGTCTAGTATGTTTACATAGAAGTAACAGCCAGCACACGATTTCGATCACGAGGTCAGCTAAACGTTAGCCACCAGTCACACTATAAAAGTTCTCCATCGCTTGTCCTGATAAGCTCCTGCCTCCGCTAGACAATCTTTGATATACAAATTACGCAACTGGCAGTTCCATAAAGGTCAGATGCACGATAATCGGATTTGATCAGATCAGCTGCGCATCACTATAGAGCCCAGTTAATATGGCAATTATCCAGTCCAATATTATCAGGTACTGACCACGATGGTATCAGTCACGATCAAGGCTTTTTGGTTTAATGCATTGGAGGAGATAAAAAATACCCAACCCCATTTTTTATTGAAGAAAGAAGCAATCCTATTGTTTTATTGACACTTTTATATGCAGTTAGACCCACATTTTATTCATAAGGTAGCACGTGGTTTTTGCAGACGTGGAAAAAAGAAGACAACACATGAAAAATGAACAAGTATAATTCATTCTATAATGCTCAACCGTAGCTCAGCAAAATTTTTCTTTGTCAGCGAAGATAACAACAACGGAATTCTGCAATGTAAATTATATGATGAAACGATAGATTACAAGATACGCATATCTGACGAGTAACAATAACCGCAAGATCGGTCGTTTGCTTCTAGGGAATTGTTTTTAAGTTATTCATATGCTACTTATTGCAATATAGATGATTAGCAAGAATGAACCGAAAAGTGGACTTCTTTGAACGATAGGGATGTGACTAAGAAAACGAGATTTGTTACCTACGTTCATGTAAGCATGGATTACACAAGAATCGTTTACTGGTAAGGGAGCTCTTGGTGAGGCCCAAGACAAGGCTGATGGTGACTAAGCCGCGAGGCAGAGCATCGACGTGTTTTTCAAATATATCGTATAAGATGAACGGATAAAAATAAAGAAAAAAATAGGGGAAAACATGTGATATTCAAAGAAATAACCTAAAGGTTGCTGTGGGTTGAGTTATCGTAAATTATAAATACGGAAGGACAACGGTACTCCGAATTGTGGGGTCAACTTCACATTTCTTTCTAAGGAGATACCAAACAAGAGAGATGACAAAATGGAAAGTTCAGTTGGGTTAGGCTAAGCGCAAGAGAAACTATGCACTCGAAAAAAATTACATTAGTAAAGATCGAGGGTTGGTTAAATAGAAAGGTCTTGAATATAAGTCAAGTTGTGGGGTCGATTAGAAAGCGGTTGTCATTGAATCGCATTATCTGCATCGTTCGCTAGTTTAGTACGTGAGTGAACAGAGGAAAATAATAAAGTAGATAACGATCAAATGCGAGTAAAGAACAGCTACATGTGGTACACTACAGTTATTTGCTAATGGGAAACATACTCCTAAACAGATATATTAAAATAATGTATAGATAACCGAACAAAATATTGTTGTTCTTGTCATCCAGTGTAATGGTTTGATCCCCATTCCATTCTGTTTTTTTCCATTCCAACCCTTCCGTTCTCTGTCATGATTGTTGTTGCGTTGGCACTGTGCTTGTTTTCAGCATGTGATATATAGGTATATATACATACATAAGGCTACAAACAATTACTGGATACACATGCCTGATGAACGACAAGAACCGTGAAACCGGTCGTGCTTTTCCAGGGAATTTTTGTCGATTCAGTCACATGATACTTATTGTAAAATATCAAGTAAAGGTGCCTGTGCCACGTTTGTTGCAGTCAATAGCATCTAACCCACCTACAAACATCGAATCAGAGTATTGATTCATAAATGGATTGGTTCTGAAGGTGCTATCCAAACAAATTTACCCGATGTTGCAAATGCGGTTATTACGACGTATATACATACATATGTAAATATATATACAGTACTGGAAGATGGTGATGCACTAAAATATTTTCTTTGTGATTAAATGGAATTTCATTATATTTATCACCCATATTAATGCTTTAGGCATGGACAATAATTTATATCTTGTCTACTTCGAAGTACTTAGTTTCTGGTCTGCGTGATTGTCAATTAAACGTGCCTGACCTTGAGTGCCAAGAATAAACGATCTGAACATGAGAATCGCGAAATGTATCAAGTATGAAAACGCAATGCTTTATGATAGGAATGACTCAAGAATTATCCCAAATTATCTCCATAAACCGCTTCCATTTCGGTCATTTGTTATGAGACATTATTTTATCTAATATATAATCCATTATAGCAACTCTATTGGATAACCAAATGAAATTCTATCACANAGAGAAATTACATTAAATAAAGTTTCACAATGATAATCTATATTTGATATCTAACTCACTGAATTTGAGAAATACCACCTCAATCAAAGTCAACCTTGAAATCAAGGTCATGTTTGTGCACAGCTTTGAATGTTCGTATTGGTATCACCATAATGAAGCAAGCAGCGCTCAAAACCAAACGTTCTCGTTATCTCAGTAAAGAGGACAAAATTAGAATTGCACGAGCACACAAGCTGGGATTTTCCATATCACATCTTACCCAATGCTTTAACGTTAACAAAAGCATAATTGACAGGATAATCCATGGGAAAACAACAACCCGAAAAACTTGTAGGGGCCGTAAACCGAGTACATCCAAACAGGGGACGACTTGGTTCGTATTACTCTGAAAAAACATTGCAGAAAATTGTTGTCGTCTATCAAACGGGAAAATCTTTCCCGCCATTCATCCTCCCTTCTGCGAAGAAGAATGAAAAAATTTAAGATGCGTCAGGTTTCAGCTGACGTCAAGCCAGCATTGAATGCGCTGCAAAGGCAGGCTCGTACTGATTGTGCCCGCGAACTCAAATCTAGTCGTGCGTCATTTTGGCGATCGGTTTATTTCGCCGACGAGTGCATGGTGTGCGATGAGCCTTGGAAGGCTCACACAAAAGTCATTTTTGGTGAGAATTTCCCAAAAGATTTTATTCCACTAGATGAAAGAGTTCCTCACCCGTCGAGATTACTTATTTGGGTAGGAATAAAACATGGTCAGCTTTGTCGGTGGACATCAATCAAAGTGGGAAATTTGCATGAGTAATTTCGAAAATGTTTCCAGAATTTCGTGAAAAAATCGTCTGGAAAAGTTATCGTTTTTCAGAATAACGCTCCGTGTCATGTTTCACGAGAGGTTAGTAAATTTATCTAGTTAAGTAGTCTGGTTCACTTATTATTTGTCTTCAGACTTCAGAAAAGATGCGTAACTCTAAGGTCCAGTTCATGCAACTTCCTCCTAATATCCCGGATCTCAACGTGATTGAAAATCTGTTATCTGTTTTGAAGAGATAGGTTAGTGTGCTACCTATGCATTGGACCTTGGAGGCAAAAGTGCGACACGTAATGGAGCACAACATAGAAAATGACTTCATAACAAAGTTGGTGGTTTTGACGCCGAAGAGACTCAAAAAGGTTCTAAAGAACAAAAACAGACTAATCGACTACTAGTGCACACAAACTTTACATCTTGCTTATTATCAATATTAATTTGTTTTTAATAAAAACTGTTCCATTCTCTTTAGTTAGCTCTTAACTCATCATGGTCTAGGTC